TCATTGTTCCACTTTTTTCTAGTTGCTTTACTCACAGAAAAAGGGTCATATTTTCATCTTACATGATCACCCTGCTTTTAACCACTTAATATGACTGCTGTAAATACAACAGCTGTAAATGCAGAAGAACTCTATGAGTTATACCAATTATGTAAAATTTTTGTAGCAATATCTCTTAAAAACATATCTCCCTCAACAACCTGAAGAGAGTACCCTTGAATTCTTGGAGTCGTAGCTTAAATTTGATTTCTGAAAGTCTGATAATTTCCTAATTGTCAAAAAGAACACAGTCATCAAATTTATTTCAAGTGAAAAACACAACTTTCTTTCAAGAATACACATCTCTATTGGTTTGCCTGTTGGTAAAATGCTCACATATAATAGTAACAATGCCGTGATGAAATAATAATGTTGAGCCAATGCCCAAGTGTTCAGCATAGTGCTATCCCAATGCCCTGAGCAAGGTCAGCTTCAGGATTCAGATTTTTTCAAAGTTTAGAAAGGTTATCTCTAGATGTATAGTGGCCGAAAAATAATAGTAATATATATATATATATATTTTTTTTGAGTTTGAGTCTCACTGTGTCGCCCAGACTGGAGTGCAGTGGCCGCTCCCGACCACCGCAGCCTCGACCTGCTGGGCTCCGGCGATCCTTCCGCCTCAGCCTTCCAAGTAGCCAGAATTACAGGCATGCGCTACCATGCCCGGCTGATTTTTTTGATTTATTGTAGAGATGAGGTCTCGCTGCCCAAGCGGGTCTCGAACCCGCGGGCATAGGCAATTCACTCACCTCAGCCTCCCAAAGGCACGGGATTACAGGCTGAGCCACCGAGCCCAGCTGAAAAGTCCCATCTTTCACCCAAGGCAAATATTATTCTGTTGCACTGCAACGGAAATTATAACATCTGGGACACTAAACTACAGGATAATTAAAAATATTGATGTCAGTATTGAGAAAGAGGATTAAAGCTCTTAACAAATCCTTTTGCAATTCATGTGGTTTTCAATTATTTCTTTTGACAAAATTGAAAGAGAACCTAATAGAGTTATCAGTTAATAAAAAATTTAAAAATCATTTTTAGTAATAAATGACTCTATAGATTTAGGTCATTCTGAATAAGTTTAAAGAATTTAATAACTCTGCTACTTTAAAAAAACTTCCAATATCATCAATTAATGTGAAAAAGTTTTCTTAGTACTTACAATTGAAAGACAAAACTAAACAAAATAGAATTGATGCTGAAACTTGTTTAATTCTAGTTATAAGTAATATGTATTCACAAACTATGTTTTAAAACTTTATCCATCTCTTTACAATGCATTTCCAATATGATTTTACTCTTTTTTTTTTTTTGAGTTGGAGTCTCACTCTGTTGCCCAGGCTGGAGTGCAGTGGCACGCTCACGACCACCGCAGCCTCGACCTGCTGGGCTCAGATGATCCTTCCACCTTAGCCTTCCAAGTAGCTGGAACTATAGGCATGTGCTACCATGCCCGGCTGT